CAACCCAGCAATTGCACTACTAGGTATTTATCCAAGGGATAAGGTATGCTGTTTCGAAGGGGCACATGCACCCCAATATTTTACAGCAGTGCTATTGACAATAGCCAAAATATGGAAAGAGCCCAAATGTCCATCGACTGATGAATGGATAAAGAAGACGTGGCGCGCACACACACACACACACACACACACACAGGCACATGCACAATGGAATATTACTCGGTAATCAAAAAGAATGAAATCTTGTCATTTGCAACAACATGGGTGGAACTAGAATGTATTATGCTAAGCGAAATACGTCAGTCAAAGAAAGACAAATATCATGACTTCACTCATGTGGAATTTAAGATATAAAACAGATAAGCATCAGGGAAGGGAAGCAAAAATAATATAAAAGCAGGGAGGGGGAAAAGCATTAAGAGACCATTAAATACAGAGGACAAACTGAGGGTTGCTGGAGGAGTTGCAGGTGGGGGGATGGGCTAAATGGGCAAAGGGCAAAGTGAGGACACTTGTTGGGATGAGCACTGAGTATTATATGTTGGGGATGAATCACTGGATTCTATTCCTAAAATCATTATTGCACTACATGCTAACTAACTGGGATGTAAATTGCAAAAAACAAAAAACAAAAACAAAAAAGAAAAACAAACAAACCCCCAATGACTACAATAAATATTAATAAATATTCAATCATAAAAAAAGAGATATAGCATATTTTTTAAACCCGATCCCCATTTTTATATTTGTCTGACATTAATCTCTGAGCATCTTTCATCATATGGCTAACATCACACATGCTCAGGTCACGTGAACTGGTACTGGTCTCCCACGCTGCTGGGCTCCTGGCGACTCTCCTCCCTTCCTAATGCCCAGCAGCCATTAACAAACACCACTGTCCTGGGTGCTGACACAGAACAAGCAGTTACCTTCAATTTCCACTGAGGTCACTCTGATGTAGAATATCCTAAATCCTGGGCAAGGAAAGGTAATCCCAGTTACTGAAAGAAAAGCACTTTACTTAAGCCCGGTGTTTCTTTTGTAGTTTACTTTCTTCAGAGAAGCCCCAGGTACAACAGCTTTGACTCTGCCCTTGCGAAGTCATCTCTAGCCTGTGAGTTTTGCCCATGACCCTGGCAAATTTTAATCTCTTCAGGTTTCTTTCTTCATGTTTCCTGGAGAGTATGAGTCTGGCTCTGAGAAAAAGGTCATTTACAAGGAAGACACAGTTCATGTGCATGTATTTGTTCCTAGGCTGTCATTCCTCTTAGTTCAGCTGACTGTTTGGAAGAAATACCACAAATAGTTTTAAAAGGAGGATCTGAAGCGGGTACTAAATTATGAAGTGTTGCAAACACTAGAGAGGAAGATCAAGAAAGGCAATTGGCCCTATAGGAAGGGTAAAATAAAAAATCTAAATCATTCTTTTCACAGAATGACAAACGAGATTTAGCTAAAGGAAATATAAGTATATGAATTTGAGGACTGTAACAAAGAACTTCTGGGCCAAGAGGGGATGAGGAAATGGCTGCAAAGCAACAGGATTAAAAAACAAATGTGCTCATAAAAAGCTTTCAATGGAATAGACAGAAAACAAGTTATTTTGGTTAATTATTCAGTGGGGACAGTGGTTTTGTTTTACAGATGGGAAATTGAAACCTTCAGAGGGAAAGCGACTTGACTATTATCAGAGAGACATAGGACCCCACTGTTCTGATTCTCAACTCCCTCTGCACCAACATCCAAATGACATTCCATCTTTTATGTTCTATTGTTCTCTAAACTCAACACTCTAGGATGTGGAAACTTTGATGCTCTTGGAAATTGCTTCTATATTTGTCCAGTGCCAACTTCTGTGCTAGGAGAAGTTTGAAGTTCAACCCAAAAACACAGGGCTTGGCGCAGTCCAAAGCTCATTACAACTTCTCATTAGTTGTGTCTCTTGGGGCCACTCTGGCATTCCTGAGTGTGACTCAGTATCACCACTCATAACTGATGGTTCCTGATTAATCTGAACGGAGCCAGAATAAGGGCCAAAATGAGCTCCTAGCAAATGAAGCAACCTATCTTGCAGGAAGAAAGTAAAAAGTTACATGAAAATTTTCTTGAAATGACATCCCAGTATTAACCTAAGTGATAATCGTATGATGCCTAACACTTATTTAGCATACGGTATGTACCAGGTATGATATTTGTGCCTGACATTCATTCATTCATTCCTCTGGATAACCCCATGAGGCAAGTACCATTATTATTTCCACTTTAAATAGGAAACAAAGTCACATAAATGTTAAGTAACTTGCTAGGCAGGCTACGAACATGAATTACTTTAGAACAATAAGAATCTATTGACTGATACTCAAGGATCCATGAACGTTTTCTCCAGATTAAAAATAACTTCATCAAGGAATGCCTGGGTGGCTCAGTCAGTTAAGCGTTGGACTTCGGCTCAGGTCATGATCTCACGGTTTGTGGGTTTGAATCCCATGTTGGGCTCTGTGCTGACAGCTCAGAGCCCAGAGCCTGCTTCAGATTCTGTGTCTCCCTCTCTCTCTGCCCCTCCACTGCTTGTGTTAGGGCTCTCAAAAATGAATAAACATTAAAAAAATAAATAAAAAATAAAATAATAACTTCATCAATCCAAATGAAGTCTGGAGTTTAGTTCTTAATAATGTATCAATGACAGCTTCTCAGGATGGTACCTTCTTCAAATGTACCACGGTGATAAATGTTGTTAACAATGGGGAAAACGGGGTGTTCCTATTTTTATGTGTTCTATCTCTACAACTTTTCTGTAAATCTAAAATTATTATAAAATAAAAAGTTTAGTTAAAAAAAACATTATCTGAATACTTTTTAGAGGGAACTTTTCATTGAGTTGGATCAAATAAGAACAATGCCATTCCTTTCCCTAAAAGTCAGAAGAATATTAAAAACTGTGGGGCTCCCCAAGACCCTGTACATTATACATGTAAGTGAGGGAATGCAAAGGTCTCCATTAGTACTGAGTTATTTAGCTTCAGAGACTTGTGCTAGAATTTTAAAGGCAAACTGGAAACTATTTCCTGGAACAACGCCTTACAGCATGCCTTTTGCTACTTGGATTCTATTTCTTAAATTCTGAAGAAATCTTGCTTTTTTCCCCCCTTCTGTGCATTTTTGGTGCTGAGCTGCTTCCGGTTTTCCCACACTCCTGCCTGTCAGAGAGAAGAAACCACAAAAATGCAGCAAAGTTTGTCCACTGAGCCGCAATTTCATCTCGAAAGGCTGAAGAGCTCCCCAGCCAGCACTGAGTTCAGGGCAGTGAAGGGCCCTGCTGCCTGCTGACAAGCCCCCCTCCCTGCCAGCGGACGAGCTGGCCACACAGGCCACCACAGGCCAGCTCAGGGTACTGGCGACACTCAGGATCCACAACAAGGCACACACTAGCAAATTCAACATTCATGTCCGGCTCCCTGATTCTCCTACCTAACTGCAGGCTTCTTGAACCTGAGAAAGAGAGCATGGTTCTAGAATGTTTATGACGGTAACTAAGGCTCACCGAGTTCCTACGTGTGCTAGGTCTTGTTCTCAATGTTCTGCATGCGAAGTATTACAGGTATTAACTCTGCTAACATTTATCAACATCCGATGAAGCAGATCCTCTTTCTTATCTCCACTTCACAAATGAGGAAACTGAGGCTAACTGATTAAGTTAACTTGCAACTTATCAAAGGTCTTCAGTTAGTAAACCAGGGCATGAGGGTGTGAATATAGGCAGTCTGGCTCTGGAAGCTACACCCTTGAGGGCTCAATTCTACTCTTTCCAGGCTGAAGTGCCATATAGCTTCCTTCTCACTGTGCTCTTGGACTTCAACCTCAAACTGCCCCTTTCCTAACACCCTCCCCTACTGCTCCATAGAGTTCTGTAAAGTCATTACAATGCCAATTATTCCTAGAATGGCGCCTGGCACTTAGTAGGCACCGAATAAACATTTGTTGGAGGAATGAATAACGACAGCAGAATAATTAAAACAGCCACAAGGGACTGTTTTCCATCCAAATCCAGAATTTGATTCCCTATCCAAAGGGGAAAAAAAAGTGACTGCCTTTTCTATGTCCTAGAATTCGTTCTTACAATGAAGGACAAATGAATAAGGAGCCTTAATGAGAACAAGAGAAATACACAAAGCACCTCTAGGTATTTATCCATAGGGGAAGGTCTGCTTCTTATGGGCATCTTTGAAAAGTTCCCCAATTTAACATAGACAAAGGCCATTAGAACTAAAACTTTTTACTAGACTATTTCTCGTTTGCTAGCTAAAATATGGCTGGAGAAAGAGTGAAGAATGTAACATGAAAAAATTTGATTTAGGCATGAAAATGTCTTTTTGAGGTAAAATAGGCAGATTATAAAAGATGTTAGAAACATGTTGCTATGCAGAGCCTGCTGACTAATGCCAATGAAGTTAACTCCCTCAATGAAATCCCAATCCAATGTCTTCCCATTCAAATGCCTAACAGTGAACAACAAATACGTGTGGCAAGGGGGTGGGGGGAGGTGTACTGAACTTTATATGAAATTGAAAAAATCTGACCCTTTAGAAAGACCAGGAAAAAAACAAAAACACATCAGGAAGAAGTTTGCATTTCCTTTCTCCAAGACCACAGTTCAGCACTGTTACCTAGTGTACTGTCTGATCGAGGCTGAAAGACTTAGTTATCAGCAATGACCCTGAACCCTGCCATTAGCACTCATCACAGTCCTCAGGGAACCTAAGAGCAGCACCTGCCCCTCCCACAGGGTATAGAGCCCAAACTTCAGCATGGTCCACTAGCTCCCCAGGTGATTCTGATTTGTAGTCTGGGCCGAGAGCCAGAGGCGATGTTTAGTCCCCATCAGGTGTTCTTGTCTTCTGCACAGTACAAACTATTTTGAAGGCCTCATAAATGAAGAGTACTCTTAGCACAGAATTGACACGACTCAGAAGAATCAGAATGGAAGATGAAGGAAAACTTACTTGGAGCCCCTCTGGGATGTTGTCTTCCTGAGTACTTGTTTGTGATTGGCTGGGGGCTTGGGGACCAGTGAGGAGGAAGAACTTGGAGGTGGCACCACTTTTTGCGGCAGAGTAGTTGGCTTCTGGCCACTGGCTGTGGCACTTGAAATTCTGCAAGCTGCACCATTATTTATTGTCCATAAATTGGAGTTAGGTAGTGTCTGGCTGCCAAAGATGGCCTACAAGGAAAACAAGAAAAAAGGTCATTGGAGATGCTTCATAACCCATTTGCTATAAATGAGGAACTGGGTTGTAATCCTGAGGTGGGACAAAAGGAAAAGGGAAATTGTGAAAGTAATTTTTTAGGAAAAACTTCTCTAAGAATACCAATGCAGGTCCAGACTCAGGGAAGGGACATGTCCAGAAGGAGGGAGTTGAGCCAGGCTTGTTGAACGTGCACTGTGCTGGGAATGAGGGCATGTGGGCACTATGTATTATCCATTTGTGGAAGTTAGAAAAGCATCCGGTCTCTCTGTCTTCATTTCCTTCAACAAATATTTAATGAAAGTCTCCTACTGGGTGTCAGGTACTAGAAATAAAGCACAAGAACAAAAGTGGCTTGAAGCTTGACTCAATTCCAGCCCACTCAGACAACTCTGAACTCTTCTAGAAGGTCTGCACATTTGAGGAGTGGGTAGAAGCCAATGTGGCAAGGGGATGTTGAGCAGAGAGGGTGGAGAGAGGAGGCTGGAACAAAAGAGCCAGACCATGCATGGCCTTGAGGACTGTTTGTAGAATTCTTTAACACCTTGTTGACTTAAAGATTAACATAAGAGTTTACATTTTAAAATACTTTCAAAAGTAAAATTACTACCTGAATACTAGTTACTGTATGAATATAAGATCAGTACAAATGTGTATTTGCTTAGAGGGTAAACCACAAATCAATAAAGCCCTAAAAATCACCGCTAAATATCACAAACACCAATGTATGTCTGTAGTTAGGACGTAAATGTATACTTTCTCAAGTAGATGTTTGAAAAATTCTTATAACTTATTTACCTCATTAGCAATTGGGTTTTTTTTGGGGGGGGGGGTCATAAATTTTGCTACTGATCATTCAATACTATTAATACTGCTTTTAATATGCATGCATTATAAAAGCTTTAAATGTGAAATAATATTAAGAGAAAAATATATAATTGACAAAATACGTAATTTTTTTTATTAAAAGGATTCCTGGCAATGGATTTCCATCCATAGACACTGCATTTAAAGAGACATGGGAGAAATGTCATTTCCTTCTGGCAAGGCCTTAAGGAGTAAGATCAGATGCTCTTGGGAACATCACCTTATAGAGAGACTTTATTAATACTATTTTTGTCTTTTATGACTTTTATGTTTTAAGATATAAAAAAAAATAAATTGGTTAGCTTTAGTAAAATGTTAACCAATCCTTCTACACTCATGCCTTGGAATGTCCCATTCCAGGGAAATACGTCCCAAGGTGCTGGCCTGGGCAGGTATGAGGGGGATCAAAGACTCTTGTGTGGAGTAAATGTGTTTGACAGGCTTAACAAAGGGCAAAGCAATTTCAGGGGCACCTGAGTGGCTCAGTAGGTTAAGCGTCTGACTTCAGCTCAGGTCATGATCTCATGGTTCGTGGGTTTGAGCCCCACATTGGGCTCTGGGCTGACAGCTGGCTCAGAGCCTGGAGCCTGTTTCGGATTCTGTGTCTCCCTCTCTCTCTGACCCTCCTCTGCTCACGCTGTCTCTCTCTCTCTCAGAAATATAAAAAAAAAAAAAAAAAGGGCAAAGCAATTTCAGAAGTAGAGAGTTACAGCATTTTCAGATGGACCAATCTGACTGAGATGTTCTTCATCTCTGAAAACCATCCAAAGGGGAAACTGAAGAGCTCTTCCCTCACCTCCATTTCTGACCTGAAAAGAGGAACAAAGGAAGACCCAAACCCATGGGCAAAACCAGAAGGGAGACACTGGGGGGTATGTACATGTGGGAAGGTCTTCAAATGGTCCAAGAGGGCCCAGGAGCTCTGATTCTGCTCCAGGAAACCTTCTGAGGACAAGTAACCAAAGAGTGCAGCAAGACGGACTCAAAAACAAATCTCTTCCTATCAAGCACCATTTCCATACCTGAGGGTGTCAACATCTGTGGGAGAGGCCCAACTGGAAGGAAGGAGGGAGGCAGGAAAGGGCTACCATAGGTTTATTTTCATCACTATGTCCCAAGATGTGAGCTTAGACTGAAGAGTGAAAGATGCCTCTTTCAGAATGGGGAGGAGACTAGAAACCTGAATGAGGGCTGAAGAGCCTACAGCAACCACAAACAAATTCCCTGGATGAACAGCCAAGAAAGAAAAGCCACTATTAGCAAAGGGTTCTTGGAAATGAAAATATTCTTTATTGAATGTGATTTTTCACGTTGTAAAGGAATGGTCATCAGAAAAAAACATCTATTCAATACATGTTGCTGTGATGACACCCTAACCTTATTTTTGAGATCACTGAGGTTTTTTCCTTTTGTTAAAAAAATCTTGCTGGGACATCTAAATACAAATTTAAAAAAATGAATAAATAGAGCAAGATCAGAACAGTGTGAATGTAGTCAGCTCCCATTTGTGTAAAAAAGGATAAAGAATATACACAACCATACACACAGACACACAAAACACACTGAAACACATATACGTAAGGTTGGTATGCGCACAGAACAATTATGAAAAGATTTACAAAAAACTAGGCACCTCCATGGGGAAAGAACTGGTTAGCTAGGGGTCCAGGAGAGAGGAAAACTAATTGTTTACTACATTTCATTTATAACCTTTTGAATTTGGTACCATCAATATGTAGTTATTTATTACAAAAATAAATTATTCAAAGGTCAAAAAGTCAAGTTCTCATAAGATTTAAGCAGGTAACAAAGTTAACTCTGGGTACTGGTCAAGTATCCAAAACGCGCCCCAGTTCCAACCAGGTGGGTACAGGGCTCAGCATTACAGGGCTGAAGGAGTTCACTGTTCAACACTTATTATGCCTTCAAATCCAGATTTGATCATCAGTGAAAGGCAGAGACTCAGGTAAGTGAAGAACAGCATGGGTTTGTAGTCAAACATGCCTGGGCTCAAATGTAGGCTCTGGCACTCATAAACTGGGTGACCTTTTCACGTTACTGAACTTCTCTGACCTTTAGCTCCCTCAGAGGCAATTACAATTACTTTCCTGGATTACTGGGGATTCAATCACATATGTCAATTTCACCCAGGCATTCAATAAAGGATTCTTGAAATAGGCCAAATACCAGGCACATTGTAGACATTTGGCAAATGCTCCATTCCTTCCCAAACCTCTACCTCTGTTTGCTGAGGGAACCAAAGGATGGGAAGACATGCAGATCTGTCTATCTGCAGGATCTGTGAATGGCAGTTGGTTATGTATTTTTCATCATATTTTTCTTGTCTTAGGATGATGTTCACTAGCTGTGAAAGCAAACGCTTAAAACGAAAACATATGTTTGGGTTCCCCAGATCATATTTACTCAGTTTTCTCTGGCCGGAATCATCTTTTCCTCTTCTGAATGCTTGTAACAATTTATTTGTGTGTGTCTTATCACATTTAGCTCACTCTACCTTGTGTTACAGCCACTTATGTATGTACTTTTCTCTCCTTCTGGACAATGCACACTGCGGATGGCTGAATGACATCTGATTAATTTTTGTTTCATGCGCAGTGCCTAGTAGGATGCCTTACGCATAACAGGTGCTTAAAAAATATTTACCCCATAAATGAAAGTAAGGAAACTCATAACTACTACTCATTTTTTTTTTTTTAGCAACAACCAAATTCCTATGCAAAAAAATAGTCAACCCTGTGTTTCTACAGAGATGTAATCTCTAGAGGTAACAGGACCACTGTCTGAACTTTGAATAGTGCCTAGAGTGTTATCTGTGTTCAACTAACACTTAGCCACAAAATGTAAGCAAGCTCTTCTGTAGATTCCAAACAAAAATAAATTCATCTTCCTAGATGCAAATGTTGTAGCAGGACCTTAGACACCAATATTCCTTAGTGATAAGATCAGTTTTTACCTCAAGTAACAAAATAGAAGAAATTAGGAGGATTTATTGCTTAGGAGACTATAATTTGTATGGATACTAATACTTCTTTCTTTCTTCCCAATAATACTGCCCCAATTTTTGTTTGGGTAATGATGTGGGCCCACCTAAAAAAAGGTGTATTTCCCAATCTCTCTTGTACTTAGAAATAACCATGTGATATAGCTGTGAGATGTAAACAGAAGTTTCCAGGTACAGCTTTCAGGAAAGCTCTTTAAAGGGGGCAAACCGGGTTAGTACACAATTTTTGCCCTTTACTGTTCTTCCTCCCACCCAGAACAGATATCTAGGTGTTAGGTAGACAAGTCTTGGGCGGAAGTTACTTGCTAAGGATTGCAGAGGATAAAGACAAGAAAGGCATGGGCTCCTGACAGTACCACAGAGTTCAGTAGAGTCTAACTCTAGATTTTTGATTATATGAGGGAAAAAATATTTTCTAATTTGTTAAGCTATGGCAGCGGGGGACGGGGGGGCGGAGGGCAGTGTCTGTTAGATGCAGTGAAATGGAATCCTGAGCTGAGATATAATCCTCAATCTACCCAAGAGTCCAGCTTGTTTTAGCCTTAATATAATGCAAATGTGCTGTGTCTCAAAAAGGCAGATACTCTTTCCAAATACAGTAAAACATGTTCTAGTTCCCAGCTGTTTAGTAATCATACTCTAATATACCAAACGGACAATGAAATCACAATTCTGTACTGTCCAAACTTCCAAAGAGTCAGTAATGTAGACAAGTTCCCAGGTATTTCACCAAAGAAAGCCAAGGCTAAGTATAATAGATTAAAGCAATCAAATTTGATAAAGAAACCCAGAGAAATACTTAGGCAATATTAAAAAGCAGATATATTAATGAATTTATTAACTACTGGCAGAAATCAGCCTCTCATACCAACTATTGGCTCCAATCCTACAACTCCATCAACAATAGATTATGTGAATTGTTTTGTCCTGATAGTCATTCATAAATGGATAGAAGAATAGAAAGTTCTCTCCATAAAAATTCTAAGAAATGTGTGTCTGGCTATACAATGTTAGCACTCCGCACTTGTGGGTTAACAGCCCAGGGAAGGGGCTACACCGTCATCAGTCAATGCCTTGGGAATGTGA